TCTCTGCCTTTCCCATCCACACCCTTCTCTCTCTTTTTCTCACCCAACACGCTACTCTCTTTTCTATCCCCGCTCCCTCCCCAGTTCGGAGGTTCCGCCTTCTCAGGGGACGGGATCCCTTATTGGCAGATATTCACTGAATGGAGGTTCGCGATTGGGAGGTACTGGAAGGCGTGCCTGACAGTGTATATGATGAGGATGAGTTATAATAGCGTCTTCTTGTTTGTAATTATTGGAAATTATGGGCTTAGCTGTCAGGACACTGGATCCGGAGAATGGGTTGTGAGATTCTTAAGATGAAGTAATTTTTGCGTTTTTCGAAGTTTCCCTCAGTTCTCTCCAACCTATATAACTCCCCGTATGGATACAATAATACAACACAAGTGGGTCGATTTTTAAGGGCAAAGGATGGGTTGGTGTGGAACTGGCTGTAAACTGATGAGAATGGTTCCTTCGGCATCCTGCATCAAGTCTCTGGGTACAACATCCTGGTCCCACGGGAACGTCTAGGGCCCCGTTGCATGAAGTTCACGTTACGGATGGCTTCCGAGCCTGTTGCATGGTGGGGAAGTTAGTAATGAGGTCAAAGGATGGGCTGCGTATTTGCTATATGCTTCAAAACCACTCATGCAAAACCGTGCACGTATTGAGTAATCGATTGACGCAGATACTGCATCAGTAATAATAAAAAAATAAAAAAATATATATATAGTGAATCCATGAAAGTAAACATTAATGAGGAAGAGAGACGCGATAAGCCTTCCCCCTTAACTGTGCGAGCAGGATATACGTTGTGCTAAAGAAAAAACCTCTAAACACGAACTTCCTCCCTCCTGGACCATCCATGAAGGCTGACAAACCCGGAAAAAGGGAACCATTTTCTCAGGTCATTAAACGTTGAGAGGGAGGCCTTCAGCACCCTCAGAAAAGGCAGACGAAACTTATTTCATGGAGAGAAACTCCACAGTCGCACATCCATAGTGTGTAGCGGGAAAAAAAGGGTCCTGTGAAAAGAGTCGGACGTCGGACCGAGCAACGTCACTCCCTTTCCTCCTTTTGCAGGTGAAGAGAGATGGCTTCCATCGTGTTCCACGTCGTCGTCATCGGGGCAGCAATTTTCGCCTTGTGGGCGTGTATCGTCATGTCCGAATCCACGACTCCAGCGAGTGAACCCGATGCTTACTATTGCATAAAGGGAAGCAATGGGACGCTTGGCGGTAAGGCGTGCTACAAGTACTTTTTGAGGCGTCTGTGGGCTCGTATTATGGGCCGAAGTACCTTGTAGTCCTCAAAACGAGTCTGAGAGTTTCGTCATTCGAGAAATAAACTGCTAACTTCTGTGGGTTTTTGTCTTTTTATCGAAAACGAATCGCTGCGTTCGGCATTTTTTCCGCTAAACAGTGTGTCCTCTTCCTTCATTTTTCATGTTTTCTTTTACATGAATTTCCTCGCACATATTTAAGTCGGGCAGATCGAATTCGATACGAAACTTGGATAACTCAACTTAATAAGTTTTTCCGTGAAAGTTGGTAGAGGCACTTCGAAATGGATAATGGCGATGAAGTTGCAAAAATGCTTGTTGCCCGACCTGCAGGACACGGGGACGAGCCATCGATTCAGGAGAACAGAATATAAAGTCGTAACGCGCATTGCGATCACCTATTAATTCCTCTGCATTGGCAATACACGAAGAGGAATCGTTCGGATGAAAGCGTCACGGAGAAAACGGATTGAAGCTAACAGCCGGCCCGACCCTCGTCTTTGTTTAAACTCGAAGAGTTCCAGGATAGAAAACTCCAGCTGTGATCGAAATAATTATGGGTCTGCTGCATCGGCCTCACCGTTTTTAAGAACCACGCCGAGCTGGTCGGGCATAGGGAATACATCCATCGCGAGAGCTTCCACTTTTTTCAGCGCAGAAGGTCACTTTTTGGAATAGCTATCTTTCACTGGAGTACAAACCGGGTGTAGATCTGCTTTTCCACTAGCTACGACACCGCAATGGTCATTACCTCCGCTTAAACGATACACTTTGGAAAATAAAATTGTCATTCCTACGTTGTAGGACTCCTTGAATGATCCCGAAAAACACGCATCAGTTCTCGATCGTTCACACGTTGCGTCGTTAGATGGGAGGGGCGTACGCCATGTGGAATGCCAGGGGCGGCATTCACGGTTTCGACCTGGGATCCCGTCCGCGCTGCCACGAACAGCAGCTCCCTCCGTTTCGAGACGATCGATCCCTCTGTGGCGACGGTTTTAAGGGAACTGACGATTTCGGCCGTTGGGTGACACCCCAACCCAGGCTAAAAGGCAGCACGTGTTCATCGAGTCGAGAACGAGATACCAGGTGTTCCGTAGAGATAGAATGAAAATGCAAAAATGGTCCATCTGCTTCTTGTTCAACGATTATACGAAGCTGAATTAATTCCTACGCCATCGAAATCTGTGGAAAAGAAGAATTGGACAGCATCCTTCACTTTGTGGAGTTACGCAGGGAGAATGCAAGAAAATGATGACCGAAACAAATACATACAAAAGGGGGCTAGGTAGACTGTCTTTATATAAAAGAGGAGATGATGGAGTGTATCACCTGAATTCATTGATGCTGGTCGTATGCATCGTATCCCAACTGGCATCATGAACAGTAATATTGCATATTGAATGAGGCTTTAAAATAAGCCTCGCATTACTTCGGTGCAACCTTTTTTGATGCTTAACCCTCAGAACCTTTCGACCGGCCATCATGCATCCGGGCTTTCTCTCAAAACAAAATTTCCTCTCTCTGATACAGAATACCTTCGTTCCTTGCTCATAACGAGTTCACGAAAAATAATGCGTAGTGTCGCGCGTACCAGAAGGAGCCCACTGGTACTTATGAAAACAGCTGACCCTGGGCGTCCTTTGGGCGAGATACGAGCCGAGCCACCACCGTTCATTCCGTCCCGTTATGCACATCAGCCAATAGAGTTTCTTTTCCAGAAATTCTCCTCGAAAGACGTGAGACCGCGATCCTGCCAGTCAAGCTATCACTGGATTCATCACGGGATTCGCATCTCCGTTTCCACGCGTCAAGCCATCTCCGGATTCACCTCCATATTCCTACAGAGGCTAATGGACACAAATATCACTTGAAACATACAGACACAACTGACAACATTCATCAAAGTTCAAGAACTCAAGTTGAAAATGCGAAAATCATAACAAAAACCATTAAAGAATTTCAATACATAATTTTCTCAAGAACAAGAAAAACAAAATTAACAAAACACCTCCCATGAGGATTTAACGTCAACCGGAAAATTTCAACAAACATCTTTCACGACAGTCGGAAAATTTAAAATCAAAGAATAAAGTGATGAAGAAAAATGACCGAACTTGAGAGACAAACTTCGAGCCCACATTCCTGCCGGCTCCTCTTTCTATCAAATTTTTACCAATCCGAACCAAAAAACCCGTACTGTGCACCTTTTTATTCCTCTCAAACTTCTTCCACGAACTCAGAATTCATATCGAATGAGATTCCAGGCAAAAATTTATTGACGACATGCACATGGGGGCCAACACCGAGCCAACATTCCACTTTGCGCTCAATGTTTTCTTTCAAGTTTTCGACTTTGAATCGGAACATTGCAATATTTTCACCTTTACCCTTTCTGTTTCTCGTGTTTCCGACATTCGTTGCAGGAATTACAAATCTACAATCGCTATCTACAAATAGAATTGGTTGTTTATATGGAGATTCCACGGTTGTGCGCCTTGGGAACTGCCCCCAGAGGCACTGCCCATGCCCTCTTTTTAGGCCGTAGCCTGCGGCGAGGAGTTAGTTCCGCAACGCCCCAAAATATGGGGCTTTAAATAAAAGTTGCTTTTGTTGCTTTAAATAAAAGTCCAAAATAATACGAAATATGACAAGATAAGTAACTCCCTCTATTGGAATTCGTAGGTTACGAACTTTCTTTGTTACTGCTTCTGCCCTGGTGATGGGTACTATGTTTTCGACATGGATCATCTAATCCACTCGTTCCTTGACTTTGGCAAGGTACGTCGCTTCTCTATTATTGCTTCCGCCCTCATAAAAAAATTTAAAAAAAATGGGGCGGGAGGGAATGTCGGCTCGGTGTTGGCTCCCATGTGCGTGTCGTCAATCCAAGTTGGTCTCGAATCTCATTCGATATGAATTCTGAGTTCGTGGAAGAAGTTTGAGAGAAATAAAAGGTGCAAAGTACGGGTTTTTCGGTTCGAAGTGGTAACAATTTGATAGAAAGTGGAGCCGGCGGGGATGAGGGTTCGAAGTTTGTCTCTCAAGTTCGGTATTTTTTCTTCATTACTTTATTCTTTGATTTTAAATTTCCCGACGGTTGTGAAAGATGTTTGTTGAAATTTTCCGGTTGACGTTAAATCCTTATGGGAGGTGTTTTGTTAATTTTGTTTTAATTGTTCTTGAGAAAATTATGTATTGAAATTCTTTAATGGTTTTTGTTATGATTTTCGCACTTCAACTTGAGTTCTTGAACTTTGAAGAATGGAGTCTGTTGTATCCGTATTTTTCAAGTGATATTTGTGTCCATTAGCCTATGTAGGAATATGGAGGTGAATCCGGAGATAGCTTGACGCGTGGAAACGGAGATGCGAATCCCGTGATGAATCCAGTGATAGCTTGACTCTGGTCGCGATCCTTCCGCTTTAAATATCTAAAGATATTTAAACTATAGTCCAGACTGGTGGACCGACGGAAAACCTCATGCACTTACGTATGCCGAGGGCTAAAGTCGTTGGCCAACCGAAGACGAATAAACGTCCGCAAAAGCTTCCACGAGAAGTCTTTATGAATCTGCTGCAGCAAACCGCTGACTTGCACGGGAGACAGAACGCCCTCGACCGCTTCGTGAAACTTCACGAGCTTCTCGCATATCGATCTGGAGGGTCGAGAGCACTCCACGTTTTTAAGTGCGAAAGAACATGCCGGATTCGTGGGATTGGTCGGCAATTGAGAGAAATTAAATGCAGACTCGTGACCTGAAAGTGGCAGAAGGCACGGGTGGTTCGGGTTGCCAATATCTCAGCCGATAGCCAAAGGCGAAAGTGAGGATGCTGACGAGCCTTGAAGAAATGCTGATGCAATGGACTCCAAAGTTCATCTGAACCTGCATCACAGGACATTTAGCATTCCTCATGGTACTTGCATCTGATAATAGCCAGTACGTTTTTCTTTCGGACGAACAAACTACGATGATCGCAAATTCGGCTCTTTATGATGTAAATATATTTATTATCATCTGCAATGTGCGCCTTCGGCGCTCACCACATATATAAAGGGGCAATACCCCATGAACTTAACGCCATTCTCGATTTCTCGGGTATTATGACTTCTCTGACGACTTGAAGTTGGTAAGACTGAACAAAGGGAGAAACTTAGACTGGAAAATATTCTGCCTGAAAAAAAATTATTCACATAGTACCTTCAATTCGCCAATTTTAGGCGCCACTAAGTTCATGCAAGAAAATCTTGAATGAAATCTCGTAACCCCTCAAAGAGTGGTTTCGCCAGGTGTAACACCCCAATCTTCTCCTCCGAACTCAAAATAATTAATGCCGAAAAATAGGACATAGTTCAATATTTTCTCGGTCTGATTCGCCTGAGCGCAAAAAATGTAATGGGGTGGTGCCCTGCAAAGATTGGAATCCCCTTGCATGTACCTCAAAGAGGCTATTTCTCCTTCAATAAGTAACTGACAGTTATGAGTAATTGACGGAAGGATGGTATCAAATTATTGACCTCATGCAAATAGGACTGGATGAATAGCACAATATGCACATTGAGTTTCAATTCTGCTGCCATTTTCTGTCGTTCAGCACCGTCGTCTATGTACAGAGAGACGTTATTTGTGCCTTGAGTCGAGTTTAGGTTGAATAATCTGTGATAAGTTTTCCCCTGGATCTTCACCAATGACGGACCTTGACCTTGACCAATGTGGGGGGGGGGGGGGGAGTCGCGATTTAGAAGGTTTTCAATGATTATGGTGAAGGGGCAGTTATGTTGATCCTTGACCAAGACCAAATCAATACCAAATTTGAAGAACAGAAACAGTACGTTCTCCAAGTTATAGATATTCAGTAGCATCGAAAAGATTTCAAAACGAGCAAAAAAGCAACACTGAATTGGGAGCGTGGAGAAACTAGGCAACAATAACAGTTGGCACCTGTCAATCCGTCCAATGAGTAGCTAATACAAAAGTGAGAGGAATCTGGTTGTCACGCCGCGCAGTTTACGCGTATTACGGCGAAAACTTAACGCCCTTTGAGCGACCTTTTAAATTTGCTGCGATTGAGCCGGTTTTTCGCACAAAAGTTTCCATTTGTAATAATGCAAAGAGGAGGGGTTAAGACTATTTAAAAAAAAAAACGAAAGTTAATCAAATTGCTTTTTTTGGACCACCCTAACCGGGCAGAAATGCGCTTAAATCCGCGTGCGAGAAAGACGTACTATCACTTCGGACCGTTCGGCAGAAGCACATTTTAAAAATGTACGTCCAGTCGATTCTGGGACACCCTGTATGTTAGAAGAATGGTTTCCTCACCTGTTCCAGACTGTACTGAATGATGGGATCAGGATCGTCTTTGCTGTCCATCAGGGAAAGGAAACGAGAGTGAAAACTGGGAATGAGCCTCCGAATGAGCTGCAGACTCCGCAAACCCAGGGCTAAGTGACGGACGGTGATGATTCTTAAGCCCGCGCATTTCCGTGCTTCAGCACCTGTAAGAAAAGATACATATGGTCCAATAAGAAAACCAACATTGTTAATGAGGCACGTGTGACAATGAAGCACATGCGATAAAATACAGGATACAAGGAAATGACACTAACGCAAATAATAGCCATACTTTAATGGTATGATGAAGTTCCTCAGAGTTTTAAGTTGTCGGTCGGCCTACTTTTACTGTATCGTTTCGTTCCTGAAGAATGACCAAGTGTTATTCAAGTACTCACCTAGTAGAAGGGACCGAACCCTGAAATCATAGAACTGCAGCAAGTCGACCAGGCGAGAATGCAGATGGGGAGTGAGGAAATGGTAGAGCTCGGCATAAGCACTGAACGTCGACATGGTCTTCACCAGCAGCAATACGGCGCTGAAAGGACGATTCTCGGTATTCAATCACGGGGACTGCCGGGTGAATTCATCATTGTTTAAAATGATATACGTGGCTCCTCACCCGACTGCAAGGAACTCTTCACCCGCCACCCTTAGTGACTTCGGCGTCGACTCAGTACGGGAGTTCTCGTCCGCAGCAAACGAATCTGAACGGGGAAATTGGAAATATCGCTCGCGAGTCAAGTCCATGAAATTCTGGTATGGAAAAAGTAATTGGAAGGGCATTAACAATTACCTCTACGCACGATGGCATCGACTGCTTCCTGAAGTTGAGCAGGCACTTCCACTGGTTGCCATTTCTCATTATTAAGGAGAAACGAGAGGCTTGCCTTATGTTCTTCGTACAATTTCCTCGCCAGCTTTGCGCCCTAATCGACGAAAGATGCAGCATCTCTGTATACCGACCAGAAAAGCCCAGAGGAAAAAGGGCTCCGTTGCTAATCGGAGTGTGCCTACGGTTGCACCAGCAGTCCAAACATTTCAGCCAGCATGAAATGTATATGGACGCTATTCTGCCCTAAAATAGTCATTTGTTTAACTTTTTCTTTTTACAATTTACGAGGAATTTGTAAAATGTGCTTTTCATTTTCCATTCCTTGGATGTCTTGAAGCTTTCGCCAACTAAAAAGTCAGGGACTACTTGCTTGACACTCGATGGCTTCGCACCAAATTGTCTTCCGACCGGAAATTTCTTTGTTGCAACACAGAACCTAGCATGTGACTTTTTATTATTATTGTTGTCTGGTCGTTTAAATAGTCACCGCATCAAATGTCACAGTGGTCGAGAAAAATTCGATCCCGAAAGTGAAGGGGGGAAAAATCAATTACTTTTCATGATTCCTGCAAAACGGCATTCATGCACGATTTTTACGGGGGTAAGGGAAGAAAGAAAGACGAGGACGTTTGGATGAAACCTTTTTTCGGTTCTCTCTCTCTTTCCCTCTTTATCTTCGAGGAAGGATTTCCCAACTTAAAGGTCTATCCATGAGCTAGTCATGTATTTTTTTTAATTTTGTTCATCCCCTCTTCCGCTTCGATCTCACGATTTCGTTAAGGTGATGAACATGCCTCAATTCTTATCACGGCTCACCAAGAGTACGAACATGCAGTTTTTTTGGTTTTCTGGAATTATTTTCCAGTTCCTATATTTCCTGCCTCGTGATCTCCCTGTCAACGTTTTCCGTTTCACATACACGGAAGCTAAGAAAATGTTACGGAATTTTAGTTATTCCATTGCAATCCTAGCAAGAGGAAAGTCCTGATCGAGACTCGTGACTCCTGAGCATCACGTTCACGAGTCACGAGTCACGAGTCACGAGTCATGAGTCACGAGTCATGAGTCACGGGTCACGAGTCACGGGTCACGAGTACCTGAGTAGGCTGCGACGGGAAGATATGAAGTCGCTTCGGAATCGGCATGAGGGAATCGAAGACCGTGTTCTTCGCACGGGCCTCTGCAAGCTCCACCATCACGTTGGTCAGGTGCCGTTTAATATATTCGAACTAGAAAGAGGATCCTATCTCTTCGCTTCGAGAAAAAACAAATCATCGGTCGAATAATGGAACGAAGTGTGATACCTGAGCCATACTCGCCTTGACCTCTCTCTCGATCGCGCGTTTCTTTCGCTCCGTCTCTCGATGCAAACACTGCTCCTCTTCCAGTTTCTTCTCGAGTTCCTTCCTTCTCGCATTATGCTCGAATTTATTCTGAGCCATAATATGTTGCAATCGCACGATCCGTGCTTCCAGCTCTTCCTTTTCGCTCTCCAGCTTCATGAACAGGAATGCACGGAAGTGAGATCCTTAGTAATTGTTTACTACTCGTGGCTTGGGGTTTGTGATATTGAACACGTGGTAGGTACAGAAATATTTACAAAACAAACAATTAATTAAATTATTGTTAGGGGCCTTCCATCGTTCCCTATCCCCCCTTCTCCTCATCGTCTTCATTTTTCATCTGCCGTTTAACGGGAAAAATCATTTAGGTCTCTATTTCCAATTAAGAAGAAAGAGCAAAGATGTAAATAGTCTAGATTTATGTTTTTATCGCGATATATTTGGAAGAAGATTGCGAACCCGAACATAAGGGGAGAGCGATCGCAGCCCACACATCCGCTAATAGGTACAACAACTTTATTGCCCTCGTGAAAAATAAAAAAAATGAGGCCACATGAAGTCACACCATCAGACCACAGGATGGCAGGGGACCTATGCTCGGAACCAGCAGAATAAGGCGTTTATTTCCTATTTCAAGCCTAAACATGCTTAGGAAGAGAGCGTAGTGAGAAAGAATGATCAGACATAAAACGCCGCTGGCCCAGGCCAAACATCGGTAGGGTTTTTCTATTGATACATTCAAATAGCGTATCCCAAGGCTTTTTATGGGGGGGGGGGGGCCGTAGCTGGGATATCAAAGGAAAGAGAGCCTTTGCGGCAGGTACCATACATTGTATAAGGGAGAAAAAGCTTACGCATTTGTTTTGTGATACCTCTCTTATCAGAGCGGATGTACTTGCAGTGTCCGCCGTCTCTTCCATCTCGAGCCTAAATAGGCAAAGAAAGAGAAACCTCGTATGCACGATGCTTCGCTCGAGTGAGCTGTTTTTCGAGACCTTTAAAAATTCACGAGAAGAGCCAGGTGAATTTCACGAGATGCCCGAAACGATACGAACCACGGTCGGGAGGTGAATCGATGGTGCCCCACTGGGAAAGGGCTCATGAGGCGTCATTCAACAAGGGGGAAGATGCATTTTCTCGTCTCGAGTTCCCGAGGATGCGTGAGACCGATGGGTTCAGCTGGGATTTCTGTGCGTCAAGGACATAGGAGGGAAGGGAAACAGAAACTGAACATGTTTCATAGTATTTCGATATGTTTCTAATGTTATTTCCATTTGAACACGTTCATAGAACTTTTTAAATAGGACTGCTTCGACGAAAAATGGGAATGTGGGCGTGCATAGGATCGATTATTGCATGAATTGTGAATGTAGGAACGCTTCCAAAAGTTGATGACTGAGCAGGAATTCATGCGATTTTTATTTTCATTTTTAAAGTCTGCTCTAATAGCGATTATATGAGAAGAAAAGCACACTTGCAGCAAGTTCTTATTTTATTCCAATAAGTACACAACTAAGCAGAAACGTACAAAGAGGTAATGTACAAATAATTTATTGTAGATTATGAGGCAGAAACGTATGTCGAAAAATACTTTCGTTGTAAAGGTACAGAAGCAAAATACGGTACACGTGCGTGCCCTTCTTATCTCAATGAGAAGGTACAGGTGGGGTCTTTTCTTCAGGATCCCATGCGTGCTTCATTTCAGGCGTAAGGGCTTTTAAAAATCTGCTCATGAACCTCAAATTTCGACTTGGAGGAGCTTTGAAGTGAAATTTAATGGCACCATCATCCGGCACCGCGTCTCCGACAGACAGTTCGGCAATGTCTCCACTCTGGTTATCTCATAAACGGCGCCTTTTTAAGCTATCATGGGAACATTAGGGAGCGAGTCCGCACTATTTTCAAGGACGATTTTTCAAGTTTATTGAAAGTTGGCCGCTCATTCGTCCGAGAGTAAAATCTCCTAACCTGTCAATTCGCACGTCGCTGTCCTTGTGCAAAATCACAGCATTTAAACATTTCCAGAACAAGCGATTCCCATCGAAACATGATGATCATAATTTTACTAAATACTGCTTTACAAGTATCACGATGAGATGAATACAGGGAAAGGAAGGAAACTCTTCTCTTAAGGTCCGGTGGGTCCTGACTCGATTTCGAACGTTCGGGGGATCAAAAACGGCATCTTTAGCCAATTTTGAGTATCGTATTGAGAACCCGGACACCTACGTCTGCAGCGTGTGCACTTCTGGACTACATGCGCACGAAGATACGTACGGAGCCATCGATAGCCATTAGATGAGTAATATGTTATGGAATGCATGGACGTCATGGAGACCAATAGATAAGTGGAGTCTTCGATCGGCTCCATTTCTTCCAGCATTCAAAGGCGAGTACCAAATAGCATATGAAAAATTCACATTTTCATCGGATGGAAATAGAGGAGTTACTTTAAAAACAAACACCATACATTTCTGGTCCGACTTTAGCGCCGTTCATTGATCCTCGAGTCGTCGTAGGAACCACAAGGGCATCCAAGAGCTAAGGACTTCCTTACATGTGCATTGTGAAGTGGTTCGCTTGTGGAAAATTCCTTGCCAAACCTACATGGTAATGAAAAATGAGAATTCACCTTCAACACGTCTCTTTTCAAGTTTTGACTGCTGAGCGGGTTTTCACGATCGCATGTGGAAGCTGGAATACCTTCAAATGAATCGATCTGTTTTGGGGGAAAATTCGTATTATGGACAGCAATGGATCACGTCTGTTCGTAAGTGCTCTCTACATTTTGGACATTAGCGTAGCCCTGGAAGAGGAGAGAACCCACACTCACGCCATTTAATACAAGGGTACATGTTCTACGGTATGTAAGCGGAAACGAGGTCATATTTCACTATATACTGGTACATGTATGTATCCGGACAAGTATGCAGCTCGTACTTATGGTGATCTTTCCGTCATTGTGCTAAGGTTACACCACAGTACACTCTTAGAAAAGAGTGAGCGATTTCCTCGAAAGGGAGCCAATCTGGAGTCAGCGATTTTACTCCCTAAAAGCGAGGAAGTACAATCGATAACTACTCCTTTATATGAGCAGAATTCCGAACTTTTTTTAGGGCGCAAAACGAAGGAGGGAGAATACTTTTCAAACTAGTAGAAAAAGTTAGTGGTCGTTTTCAGGAAAGGGAGAGGTGAGCGGCTGCACTTCCTTGTTTTTAGGGAGTAACATCGCTTACTCCAGTTTCGCTGCCTTTCGGGGAAATTGTTCACTCTTTTCTAAGAGTGTAAATGCAGAAAGTAGCTATATGTCGGTGAAGAGAACTGGGCCATCGACCCATGAAACAGCACCACGGGAGGGGTTCTTGGACACTAACACGGCAGAAGTGTGAGCGGAACGATTGGTTGCATCCTACAGGTTGACGTGAATCTTCCTTTCTTATCTCGTCCCTCTCCGATGGGAATATCACGTGATGAGAGAGAAGGAATTCGCTTTTTGAGAGATGCACGCTCGGGGAAATGTCTCCATCACTTCGCATCGAAATAAAAGCAACTCATCCGTATATGTGGGGGAGATGACAAAATTCGTGAAAGCCTCGTGATTTCATTTCAGAAGGTGTTTCTGTGATATTTGTTGCGATTAATCGGTATCCGGCGGGTAAGCAAAGGACAGCACAAATTTCTGGTGGTGATTGGTAGAGCACAATTAAAAAGAAAATGAGTTTAAAATCCATTAATAAAGAATGTAACACTTGGAGCGCAGCAACGACACGAGGGCAGAATTTCTGCATTAGTTTTGGAAAAGGTTCCGCAGTCGGCAGATTTGAAACCGCATCCGCTTTTTTGAAAAGGCGGCCTACTGGAAGTCGACGGCGGTCGACACTCTCGGAAGCTGGTAATATTTCAACGGAAGAAAATGTCGTTCGTGCACGGCGTCGTGTCGTCGCGGAAACGTTCCACATGGGCTTCTAGTTCCACGGGGCAGAACTCGAACGTTCTGTCGTGACTCCTAAGGAAACTCCGAATATCCCTCGTTGACGCTCCAGATGGATAGATTTGAACCGAAAGAGAAGCTGTTCGTACTCTCTTCGCTGGTGGGAGTATCCTGCGTGGACCGAGGGATGCGAATGTATGCGTGTTTTGGAAGTAACCCTTTTCACTTTTCTCGAATGTATCAGTTCATGAAATGCATGCGAGGAAAATTACACTCTTAGAAAAAGGGGAGCGATTTTTCTTCAAAAAGACAGTAAAATAGCTAACTCCAGTTTCACCCCCCTTTCACTCTGAGAAAGTAGCGAATTCACTCCATCACCAAGGAGTAAAATTGCTCTCCTCCTCCGTGAGTAAAAACGCTCCCATCAGAAAGTGACAGGGATGTCATGAAAATACGAAAATTCCCTTATACCGGTATACTGTGTGTCGCTTTCGTTCTCGTACAGGCGTTGACCTACCTCTGACTGTACTGATTACAGCACACGTCAGAGGGTGGACCACCTCCTATAGGTTCCGTGGAGTGTTCTGGATATCGGTCCCTCATTACCGCATTTAATTGAGATATGATTGAATGAAGTTCCTGCTACATGTCGTAGAGGAATGCAGATTTCGCCACTGTAACATACTGCATAGATAACGGTGTCGAGGTTCGGAATGTGTGATCCCACAGGAGCTGTTCCAATTTCATTGCGAAGAGACAAGGAAATGAGGGCATCATCAAGTTGCATCCTTTGTCGGATGGGACGTCTTCAAAGTGGATATTAACCGTCAGAAAGGTATTTTTGGTCCTAAGAATTTTGGGGAAGACCCTCAACAAGGACACGATACCGCTCCTCCCTTGTCATCGAACCGGACACATCATTGTCGATTTGGGACGAAACGGAACGTATGGAATACCGGTGTTCCGGCCCGTGCACACTCGGGCTCAAATGAGTCGAATAAATGAATTCCGTGCATGACTTTCTGCTCTCGCTTTGTCGGTTTCATCGCCCATGGAACCACCCTAAGAATAGTATTTAGCGTATGGGCCATATCCAGGCATTAGGAAGCGGGCGGATCTTTGGGCACCCACAAAGGGTGAGAACTCCGGTTTCCGAGGCATCACAGAATCACCGTGTAAAACATCTGTTGTTGTTTCCCCCTCGGAGACGATGCCGTTATGCTCCTTC